GGGGGGGGGAAGCTGACATTACTGTGGCTCTTTGGCAATGTACATTGGTAAATTCTGGCTCCTTCTCAGGCTCAGGTTGGCCACCCCTGATCTAGTGGCTCTGGAACTGAATGAGATGTGAGCATTGAGCCCTTTTGGGTCTTGTCTATGCTGAAGTTAACCTAATCAATTGGTCAGTAATTGATGTAGCGGCTCTAGTGCAAATGTGTAATGTTCACAAAGGTGATGTTTGTGTGTATCCCAGTAAACTTGTCCCAATTTCACTGCATATGCTCCCTCTGCTCTCATCTGGGACCTCATTGGCAACTGCCTGCTTTCATTTGCTCCTAAAGTCTGCAGGAAGTAGTGAAGACAGAAACCTACAAAGCCACATGCTTTTCCTGTTCCCTGGCATCAGCAAAAACAAAGATGCACATCTTCCTGTAGTGGGGGAAAGGGGTTTATTATCAGCTTTCACTGCTAGCTGTGATACTGCTGCTTTCCCAACCAGCACCATCTGTAGTTTTACCCTATTTTCCTTTCCGTTACCTACTTTATTCTGCTGCTACTCTGTTCCATGAGTCAGCAGCTGAAAGATTGAAACTGCCACTATAAAGAACAAATTTCCCAGTGCTTGCATATGAATTAGAGAAGGAACAAAGCGTGCTTTGGTGAGCCCCCTTCAGCACATCATAGCTTTTTATCAAATTTCAAAATAACTTGAAGTTATTCCTGGTTTCCAGGAACATTAAGTTCCTACTCTGGTAAGCTACCTCTCGGAGGTTATCACGTTAGTACAAAACTTCTCTGTAGTCTAGTCTGTGGTAAATGCAATAACTGCTTGCAAACAATATGGAAGGGTTCCTTGTCAGTCACTAAACTGTTGCGATCTAAAAAGGGTGGATATTTTGGGTGCAGTAGGTGGCTGCTATTACTCAGTTATGTTACTAACAAAAAAAGCTTTGTCGCTGTCTATACAGCTCAGCTTTCAGAAATTCATACATGCTGTTCTAGAAATCTGCATTTATAAATAATCTTAGCAGTATTTCGCATGCTGCAGTAAAACCTCAGAGTTACGAACACCAGAGTTATGAACTGACCGGTCAACCGCACACCTCATTTGGAATTGGAAGTATACAATCAGACAGCTGCAATGACACCCACCCGCCCTCCCCCAAAAAAGGCAAATACAACATAGTGCTATGTTAGCCATAAACTACTTTAAAAAAAAGCTTTTAAAATTTTTTGACAAGGTAAGGAAACTGTTTTTGTGCTTATTTCATTTAATTTAAGATGGTTAAAAGCAGCATTTTTCTTCTGCATAGTAAAGTTTCAAAGCTGTATTAAGTCATTGTTCAGTTGTAGACCTCTGAAAGGACAATAACATTTTGTTCAGAGTAACAAACAACCTCCATTCCTGAGGTGTTCATAACTGGGAGGTTCTACTGTGGTTAAATAACTAAAATGCTGTAACATAGTCTGACGTTCCTTTTTTCCCTAAAGAGTGCTCCAGCTCTACTAGTTTAATAATAAGAATAGTAAAGGAATTTTTTTTTATTATCTCCACTGAAATGCTTCTACTGCAGGCCATTTAAAATTCTTTTTCATTTTGACTTTACCTGCTCTCTTGCAAGCCATTCACATTCAGCTCTCATCAGTGGACACAGAGCTGGTCACAACTGTGTGTTAAGATGTTGTTGGTGCTAATTGTGTTCCAAAAGCAGAAGATGGAACTTAAAACAAGATAATCTTGATGAAGTTTCACAGGTGACGAGGGATTTAATCCTTCAGGCAAGAGAATGGTCATTGAAACAAAAGCATGGCCCAGTTACCATATGGATTTGGCAGAAAACTTGCAGTTTGAATGTCATTTGTTGCCCATAAGCTGAGAAATTTTCAGTAAAGCTGGTTGAATTGCT